ATTAAAGAGTTTTGAGGAAAGTTTTTGAAAGTTGCACCTTTAGGTGGGGAGATGGATTGAAGATTTTGAGGAAGCTTGGAATGAGATGAGACTGGATTAGAATCCAAGATATAATCTGAATTAGCGTTTCCACTAACTTTAATCGAAATATCGAGAATATATTCAGTTTCTTCGGGAGTACAGAAGCGGAAATAAAAATCAGGCTCAGACAATTCAGGAGAGTCGGGATATTCTCTAACAGTTAGGTCATACTCGCTTCCATTAGAAATAATTTTCATGAAGAAAATATGAGCGAAAGCATTTCCTAAGAGAAAAACGGGATCGAATTTTTCACAAATTCGGAATTTGAGAATTCGAGATTCTTCCATGCCATAATGTTTTAAAAATGCATAAGCAAATCCTTGGGAATCAACAAACACATTCGACGCGATTCCTTTCAAACTTCGATTTACCTTAATGACATGAGCTTGAAGTTGTTTGGCAAGAGCAGCATCGATAACGCATGCAGACGCACCGGTATCTACTAATACCTTACCTTCCTTGACTCGGGCCTTGTCAGGTAAGCAAAGATTGAGGTTGACCTGGGGCATGTGAGCAATAGACTCGTTACCCAATTGAGAAATTTGCTTTATATCTTTAGATATAGCAAAACCAACAGCATTGTTTCTGATACCATTTTGCATTGGTTCAGGAGGGGAAGGAGGTCTAATCTCATTTTGAATTGGAGGGGATACAATCTGAGGAGCTTGAATAAAAGCTTGGGTTGGGTTGGTTGTGAGGTTAACTTGATGAGAAAAGTTTTCTGGGTTAACAACACTTACAACATTAGCGGAAGAAGCATTTTGTTGAGGATTTCTGAATCCTTGATTTTTGGGTTGGTAAGCGGGTTTAATTCCAGCGGCTTCTTGGGCTTTACGGTAAGCTAACTTGGAACATTGATCAATGGTGTGATCATCGGCTTTACAATAATTGCAAAATTTAGCATTCGTAGGTGCAGAGGGATTTTCATTCTTCCTTTTATAATAGGGATTGGAACTTGAATTGTTTTTCAGCATTTTCTGGACTGAGGATTTTTCGTAGGGTTTTTCATTCTGGGTATTCTTTGAATTTGAAGGAATTTTAGGTTTATTTTTACCTTGATTGTTTTTATGATCAAAGTGGATGCGGGTTAGATGGTTGTAGATTCGGGTTCTATCATCATTAATACCTAAGGTATAAATATCGTCACGGATGTATCGTGGGATATGTTGGAGAAGCAATGAGTTGAAAAGAGTTTCATTGGTTGGGCCATACGCTTTGTTGACCAATCTTTTCATATCTGAAAAGAATTTTTCAGGATGATATTCAGGATTAAAACGACAGTTTCTCAATTCAAAATCAGCTGAATATTGACTTTCGGGAGTCTTAAGATTTTCAAATAGAGCATCAACATAACTGTTGTAATCAGTTATATTTTCAAGACCATTAGCACTTGTCTTGATCTCATGAGCCATTGACTTTGTAGAAGTCGAAGTCGAGTATCATCGTCGACATTTTCCTTGGCGAGTCGATCTTTAGTCTTAACCAACCAGGAATATTGATCTTCTCCAGATCGGAATTCAGGGACATGAGGGTCCGTTTTGAGTTGTTTCATTAACTCAAGAAAAGTTGAGGTGGTTAAATTTTCACCTGAGTGGAGAGATGATGAGATGGATGGAGTTGAAGGTGTGATGATGTTAGCACCATTTTCATTTAAAATGATCTTAATTTTATTTAAGACACCAAGAGGAAGAGGAAGAGCGTAAAGCTCAGAATGAGTGATTGAGAAAATAGTTTCATTTTCTCTGCCAATGTTTTTAATAAAAATTTGAATTTCGGCTTCCGAAATTTTTTGGGAACGAAATTCATTGAGCCAATTTGGTAATTGTTGAGATTTAAGTTCGGTAACGGCGATGTTAAGAACTTCATCAGGAGAGAGAGATTCACCAAGAAGAAGAAGATTGGTGGTAGCTATTTCAATTAGCTTTTTGTTCGCTAAGGAACGAAGTGGAGCTTGAACATTCCACAGATCAAAGAGGGAAAGAGTCTCAGGAAAAGAAATATCCTTGAGGGATTTTTGTGCTTCAATTATGGTGGAAACACGAGTAGGGGGACGAGGATTAATTGGAGTGGTAAGAGATGGAGGTGAACGATGGACTATTGTTTCGTCCTCTGAGATGAGTTCATCATCATCAGGTTGAGATGGAGGTTGAAGAAGGCGTTTAGATGCCTTAGCAGCTTTAGCAGCACGAGCAGCAGCAACACGAAGAGTAGCAGCGACTCTTGATTTTTTAGGAGGCATTGTTAATTGTTAGGTGGATAATTCAATAGAGTTTCACTGAGGAAATAAAACACAAGCACAAACTAGGGGATTTCAATCAACGATCCTGCCTGGGTCGCCAATTTGTGGGGTAGAGTTTTAGATTTGAGGGATTAGATGGATTTGATTATCTTAATAAAGATGAGGTTGAGTTTCAATACTCGGAAAAGTCACTAGACTTAGAATTAGAAGATTCTCAGTTCCACAAATAACTGAATTTCAGATTCTTTCAGGACCGATGATTAATCTAAATCTGCACTTGAGTCTACTAATCACTGAAATGATATTGAATTAGATGGAGTTAAACAATTAACATGAAAGTTTTTAATTAAGAGCAATTGAATTTTAACACAAAGTAAAGTTAATACTTCAAGGGTAAGACAATTACTAAAGATGAATATGGAAGATTGTTCCTAAGGAACTAATCTTGGGGGGTTACAATTAAAGAAAATTAAAATGGGGGAAACACAAATTAATTCTAAATCATCTTTTGATAAGGAGACAAAGATCTTGGTTACAATTTACTAAGAGGTAAAAGTAACAATTGTTAACCTTATGGTTAAGATGATGAAGATGAAAAAGAAAAAGATAAAGATAAAGTTAACCTTTTCATAAGCTTGTAGGCTTGTTAAGGCTAAGAAGTAAAAAACAAAAGAAAGATAAAAAGAAAGAGGGATAGAAAGAAGAAAACGGGTCTCTTACTTTTGTGACACAAATTTGATCACTTTAAGCTTAAGAGATTTTGTGGTTTTTACAATTCTAAGAATTAGTTAATTGTTAATTGTAACAATTTAACAATATAGATTTTTCTCTATATATCTTTAGATATTGTAATTGATTAATTAGAAATTTGTAATTGGTTAATCAACCAAAGGATAATTAAGACAATAATAGTTGTAAATTAATTCAATCAATTAGATTAGGGATACTAATCAATCGTATTGGTAAGTTACAACAATTAAGGTTTACAATTATAGTTGAATGGGTTGGATTAACAATTTTTAACAATAGAAAATTAAATTGAATAAATAAGAAAATTAAGAAAATTAAATTGTTCATTTTCATCACCATATCATGATAGTGATTGGAAAACAAAGACTGAGGATTTCAGAATTTCTACCCTTCAATCTAAAAACTTCGATTATAAACAAAAAACGACACTTGAGGCGGAGGCCAAAACTTCAACGAATTCATAACTTTCTTAACTTATTGAACCTCCCACGAGTCTATCATAATATTTCACGCCTCTCGCTAGATCAGTCATATTTGTAAATATTATAATAATTAGAAGGATTTTAGTAATTAGCTTTGCAGTTAACAATATTTGTTGTCTAAAAGAAAATCTATTCTCCAATTCATGAATGGCCTGTGCTTAGAAATTAGGACATTGCTCATTCCAATTCTAGCTTCTAGTTAGATGAAAGAATTACTGAAAAAAGTTGTGTTTTTTGAATCATTTCGAATTTTTTTGCAATAAATAAAAAAGAAAAATTTCAATAATGCCTGATTAACTATTTTCAGCTTCGAGCTTTCAAATGATGTAAGTAGTAAGAAACCATACGCTTCTGGACCGGAAATGGGGGAGTTCTACTTCCGGAAGTAGAACTCCCCCATTTCCGGTCCAGAAGCGTATGGTTTCTTACTACTTACATAAAATCCAAAAAAAATCTAAGAAATAAAAAAGTTATCAAAGGTTTAAGTCCTAAGGGTCCGACTCAATCACCCAGTACATTAATGTATTAATATTTGCATGGAAATTTCAGATCATTAACCATAATATTATTCAGCAGATTGAGTCTGGTTGACATAAAATCGAACGAAAAATTCAGTATTTTTCTCATCAAGTACTTAGATTTTGTGCAGAGCATCTTAATCAGAAGTGACTCAATATCTGATCTAGAATGATATCAAACATAATTCTGTCGATAGTTTGAACAAAGATAATAAATGAATTTTAAACACTGATTTCATCTAATGCACAAATTTAACTCTTTTCTCAAGTCAACAAGAAATTTCTAAGAAAATTGTTTCCAATGAAGATAATCAGAATTTTCACAGATAAAGCATGAAAGGTAAAGTTCGGAAGTGATCAAGATTCGATAATTTGTCATTCGGGTCATTTGTAATGAAATTTTCGTTAGACTGAACCTGATTTGGTGCCACAGGTCAGATCTTCTTGTCGCAATTTTAATTTGAAAAATTTACGGCCAAACATGACCACTCATACCTTATTATTCATTTCGATTGTATGTTTGATAGTCAAAGGTAATATGAATAAAGAGATGATTTAATTGCTTGTGAATCGAACAACAATCGAATAAGTTTTTGCCGAAATCGAACCAGTTCCCTCTTTATCTTCATTTTGGAATCAGTTTTGCTCCTCTTCTCATCATTACCACATTCGATATTGTATCAGTTGATTGTTGTGCAATCGTCTTGTTAATTATTCTAATTTGTCAATTCGGGTATTTTATTATTCTTTTCTCATTAGTAATTTATTGATTACTGTAATTATTAATGTGGTCCAATTTTCCATTCCGAATTTAAATTCAGTTTCAAACTACTCATAATGTATTTTCATCTGCATCAGAACTTGGATCTTGGACAATATTGTTATTTTCATCGACAGTCTTGAGCAAAAATAATATCAAAATTTGTAAAGTTTTTTCTGTATTAATTATTAACAGTTTAATCGCAATTAACCAAAGATTAATATGTTTTCAAAGTGAATTTTTTACAATGCATGTTACTTTTTGATGGTCAATAAATATGATGTTTTGAATATGGAAAATGCACAATAATAAATATCAAAAGTTTAAATAGACACATGGAATGATGAATTAAGCAACTGATCAATCATGTTTGTTGTTGGTTGTGAAACACAAATATCATGAAAATATGAAGTATTCCTCAAGTTTGTTGTTTGATTGATTAGAGTTGAACTGAAAATCTATTAATCTTTCGGGTTGTTGTGAAATAGAGGCAATAGAAGTATCATAATTCCGATCAAATGTTAATTAAACTTTGTATTAATCCAATTGAGTTAAGAGGTTCTTAGTGTTTCCATCCATGATGACCATGATGACCATGACCATGACCGTGATCGTGACCATGTGATTTCCATCCAGTGGTCTTATCTCGTGAATCGTAAAGTTCAGTCCATCCCTTGTCGTGTTTTCCCCAACCACCATGCTTGACCTAAGATGTTTAATATAACATATAAAAAATTAGAACCATTGGCAAGATTAACTAATCACAAGAGCTTACATCAACTTTGTATCCGATTTTACCATGTTGATGATGACCACCCCAGTGATTGTCCTTCTTCCATGGGTCAGCCATAGCGGCAGAAACAGCGAGGATAACGAAAAGAGCGACAATCTAACAGAATCACAGAGAGAGAGAGAGAGAGAAAAGTGTCATTAGATCATTTAAATAATAACAATATCCAAAAGTGTTTGTTATCCAAATCGATTGATTGATTAAATCAACTCACAGCGAAAACTTTCATTTTGATTATTAGTTGTTGATTGTTTTTGATTCACAAATAAAGAATTGATTTGATTGTTGTTTGTTGGTTGACTGTTAACTCGAACTGATACTTTCAACCATCTAAACACTTCGATTATAAACAAAAAACGACACTTAAGGCGGAGGCCAAAATTTCAACGAAATCGTAACTTCGATCGCACTAACGTTTGAACCTCCTACGAATCTATCAAGACGCCTTCTTGTAAGTCCAAAGTATTTTCGTAATCATGTTAACAATTAAACTAACAGTGAATTTATCTATTGATTACATTATGATAAATCAAGAAACTCCAACAGCACAATTACAATCAGTTAAATTTGTCTTTCTAAAGTTAAATTGTTAATTGTAATAAGCTAATAAAAAAACAAATCAACTCAATTGCTTAACCAATGGTGCGGAAAAAAATTGTTTATAAGTTTGATTAGTTTTCATTATCTACATTTAGTTACCTGTTAATTAAAGTTAATTGTTATTATTAACATAACTAATATTATTATTAGTGATTATAATCACAATTAAATCGTTGAACAATTTTTTTATCGTTCTTGTTTATTGATTTAAATTAGCATAAATTGTAATTGTTGAGTAATACAAGTTTGTTGTTTGCTAATTGGTTGTTGATAAAGTTAATCACTCGTTTTTAAGTTTAATTGTTGGTGATTTAATCAGTTACTCTAATTAGTATCAGGTCTACCTCAAAATCATTACCTGACACCAAGAAATACATTGTGACCCCAACCAGTTAATTATATTATGGTAAATAATTAAAGGTGATGATTAACTTGCCACTAACACCAAGAGTAATTAACACAACAATCAAAATGTTTGATCAATCAGTTAATTTGGTTATATGCTTATTGTTGTTTATTTATCTTTGATTTTGGTTTGGTGACACAAAATTAAGTCAACAATTTAAATTTAACATGAATACAATTAAAATCAGATTTAATTATTCAGTTGATTAATGGTTAACTGTTTGGGTTTAATTATAATTGTTAGCTAAATCAACGTAACTAATTAACTTACCTTTTTAAGTTTTGTCGTTTTGTATTATTTACCTTGGACAATTAATTAATTGTGTTGGTGAAGTTTTAATTGTTTAATCAGCCATTGGTTTAGTATTGACAATTATCTGCTAATTAACGACCAATTTATTAATTATTAAAGTTAAGTTCAAGGGCTAACCTTGATTATTGATACTGATTAATTTTAATTGTTACTTTATTTTTAAATCTATTGATCAATTTGCTTAGAAAAGTTTTAATTTAAATCAATTGAATCAATAAACTTAATGGTTAATTCAATGAACTTAATTGTGATTATCATTAATTAACCTAATTCTCTTGAAGCCAATTGGATTTATTTTAAGTCTTTAATCATTACAATTAATGGCAATTTATAAATTGTTAGTTTTTCTTAAAAGTGAAATTGAAGCAAAAAAGTTGAGAAAAAAAACTTAATCACAATCAATTAATTGTTCAACACAAACAATTTATTTTCTCTGTGATTAAGTTAAATCATCTTTCAATTGATCAAACAAAAGTACAATTAACTACAAAAACAATTACAATTAACAGTTTTCATTTAATTTGATCAATTTTTTGTTTCTTTCTCAATCAAAGTTAATTGTTAAGGTCAAATTTAATTTAATTGCGCCCTACTAATTGTGATGATAATTTGTTTAATCGTTAATAACAAATCAAAATGAAGACTGATTGACAAAAAAAACTCAATACACTTTATGAAATTTAATTAACCTTCAAAAAATAAATAAATAGTGACAATAACATTAATTACAATTAAATATCTAACAATTAAATTGGCTACAAAACTTACAATCAATTTTCCCGAACTCTAATCATTTGTTACGCTTTCATGATTAGTGTAACAATCAATGAAGATTTGATTTGATTTATTTCTTCAATTTCTGATTAACATGAGAAATTAATTATTCACATTAATCTGAAATCAAAGTGCTAAACAGTAAACCAATTAGACGATTAAGTTAATTAATATTAACTATTAATTTTTTTTTTTGGCTAATTAACTTTTTCTCCACTTTTTTGACTTAGTTTAATCAAGCAATTAGGTTAGTGCACAATGTCAAGTTCATTTAAAAGTTGACCCAATTGGTTAAATTAATCAAATAACCTTTTTTCCATTGTGATTACTTGTTTACAATTAAAATTAATTGTTGAAGAAAAAAATTCTCCATTGGAAAAAATTTAAATTCTGACCAATCATATTAGTGCTTTTCTATGGTAACAGATGGCGTTTTTGTCTATGAGAAAATCATGTTTACATTGGTGAGAATAAATTTTTTGACAATTTAAGTTGATTGTCTCTCTTTGTAATTAACTTTACTTTAATTGTGATATTTGTTTTTTTTATTCGTTTTGGTATTAGTTGAGGTTAATTCCTTCGTCAATCAGTTAATTATGAGTAAAAGTTTCACTGCCACTGATGTTCAAAAGGCTAAGCTAGAAAAGCTCATGCAGAATATTGTAAGTTTCATTTTTGGAATTTTTTTATTTCTATTCTTTGGTTTCTAATTGTTTTCTCTTTTATTTTTGGAACTTTTTTTTGTTAATTTTGATTGTTCGATATTCTAGGATAAGCCTATTGAAATACCTCAAAGACCAAAGGATTCAAAGTTTGCTGAGCCTCCAGATTTCATAAGAAACATTATGGGTAAGAGTTTTTTTTCTCTATTGAGTATATTTGGAATCTTTTTGTTCTTGGTTTTGGTTAACAATTAGTTGTTATTTTGGTTTACTTTTTAGGTTCAAGTGCTGGGGCTGGAAGTGGAGAATTTCATGTTTATCGGCATCTCAGAAGGAAAGAATATGCTAGACAGAGATTCATCGAAGAACAAGCTAAACAAGAAGAATTGGATAGAAGGTTTAAAGAGACGGTCGAAGAGAAGAAGAGAAAAGTGGAAGAGAAAACTGCTAAAAAAAGGGCGAAAAGATTGAGGAAAAAAGAGAAAATAAAACAAGCACGAAAATCGAAGAAACTTAAACGTAATCAAGAAAAGGAAATTACCGACGATGAGGATACAGAAGATGATAATGAATCGATTGTTGGTGAGGATGAAAAAGCCGATTCAAAGTTGACAACGAAAAGTGTATCAATCGATGAGAATGAGGATAAAAGTGTAAAAGAAATGAAATTTGATGAAAAAATTTTATCGGAAGATGAAACTGTTGGAAATGCGCCGATTCCGAGTAAAATTGAAGCAACACAATCGAAACCAGAAGAAATTGATTCAGATAATGATGAGATTATTGGACCGATGCCTCATCCGATTAATAAAAACTGTCAAGAATCAAAATCAGAAAAAGTTAATGATAGTGAAACAAATATCAAATCAAAGCCAAATACTTTTAACAATCAAGGTGATAATTTAGTCGATCCAAATAACAGTGAAAGCGACACCGAAGCGATCGGTCCAATGCCAACAAAATCTACTGACCAAGACGAATCGAAATGTGAAGATCAAGTTCAAGAAGGAGCTGAAGAAAGTAGCGACGATGAAATGATCGGGCCGATGCCGATCTAAAAACTGGAAACAATATTCGAATGAGAAATCATTGTTAATGGAAAAAAAGTTGATATGAAAATCAATCATCATAAAATATTGATACATATTTTTTTTGTCTCTCCTGTAAATAGACACTCGATTGTTGAAATGAATCGAATGGATTAAATTGATTAATCCTTTGGGTCCAAACATCAAGATGATCCCTTGGAACCAAGGATACTTTGTAAAGCGATATTTCTTGATTTTTTGGCTCGGTTTTTGGCATTTTTCTCCGCCATCAGGCTAATTAGTTTGTCTAATTTTCCCGAAATTCTTAAAATTAATTGTTGCACATTCTCCTGATCTCTTGGTGGGTCAACATTAAAATCCAATTGCTTATGATTATCCTTTAAGGGAGCAAATCCACATAAAAGATAATCATGTTTCAAAGCTAATCCCTTTTTACTACTGTTGATTGTTAGATTTTTATCTCGTATCAAAGTTAATAGTTTCCCTTTGATTTCAATCATTTCTTTCTCAAATTCAAATGAATTTAATTTATCATCGGAAACTTGAGATGTTAATATGTCAATAGTAACATCGAAAGCGGAAAAAATCCATTTATGATCAGATTTAGGCCTAAAATAAAAAAAGAGAAGAAGAGAAAATTAATCATCTCAATCATGAACTCTTAATTGTGACACTTACATTGTGATTGTTTCAATAGGTTTCTGTGAGTCAACAATCAAGTGTTTATCAACTTCTTTAATCACATGGGTGAGAACAATTTTCACCTTATCACAGTAAATTGTCACAACGATAAAATGAAGCCAATTATCAACTCGATCGGAATCAATTTTAGATTCCTCATTAATGAACAAAGGTTCAATGTTGGGATTCATGAGGGAACACCGATTAACCAAAGAATCCATGTTATTCTTGGCTGAACTTATCGCATCTTCGGTGGCCATTAAAGCTCTCACTGAATAATATAAACTATTGAACACTTGGGCAGTAGTGACCAGAGATAACTGATTGTAAGCGTGACCCCGACAAGGGTCAATCTCACAGGCTTGTAAATAATAATATTTGGAAACCTTGAGGTTTTTCAAGCTCCGATTAAGATCACCAAGTCTCATGTAGATATTGTAAAGGAGCAACTTGTCGACCTCTTTCAGGTCAACACTAATATTGGTTCGGCATCGGACAAAATATAAATCCATTGCTGGTCCCTTGGTCAAGGAATATAAAGCTTGTAAGATATAGACATAAAATCCATGGATACAATTAACTAAATTATTCTCATGGGTGTCGATATATTTTTTCAATTGATTCCACAAATGAATCTCAGCTGAATAGATTGAAGAATCATTTGAATCAGAGGTTCCATTCATATCACCATGTTGCTTATAGTTATTAACCTAAAGAAAAAATTAACAAATAACAAATAGAACAATTAGTAAATTGTAAACACAATCAACAGACAAATCGATTGATATTAAATTGTCTCTTCCTCTCTTCATGTTTTCACTTTGAAACATCAAAGTAAAACCTCATCTTTGTTTTTTTCACAATCAAAGACAATCACAAACAATTAAGTAGCAATTAATACCCATAGGCCTACATCTATGGAAATGATTTAATTAATTGTTTCTACCTTAGGAACAATTAGAAAAACAAATTAAATCTACTTACCAGTTTTTGTAAATACTTTTCACACAAAGAAGCAACAATTTTTTGCTTCTCCTCTGAATCTTCAATTGACATGATTAAACCTCTAACTGACCAATTAAAGTCACCTTTTAATTAACACTTTGAGCACAATTTCATAGGTTTATCATTTGGAATTAATTAAATACGAAACAATTAAGAATTGATTAACATTCATTTCTTGAGAGAAACAAAAATCTAAACATATGATTGTCTCTTTTTCTAGTCACATTTTTAGTTCCATTGACACTTAGGTGGCGATCGAATCGTTTTTTTTTATTATTCTAGTTAATTGTTTTCGATTGTGATGAATTTAAATTGTGTAAATTTAATTAATCAACTAAACAAAGGGATGGGTTAACAATAGATGATAAGAATTTGTTGTTTTCTTTACATGGTTTTGATGAAGAAAAAAACTCATGAAGCTTTAAAAGCTTTTGTTGTTTTCGGCTTTTTCTTGGTTGATTGTTAGTTGATTTTAAATCCAATCAATTTAGTTGATTTGAATTAATTTGATTGATGAAGATAATAGATTGAATAGATTTACATTGATAGGGTAATAAGATTACATAAAGACTATTAATTTTTTTTTAAACGAGGCGATAGAAAATTAGATCACTTAGTGAGTTGATTGTAAATTGTTGAACTTTCGTTTGGTTTTGATTGTGTTTCGTTGTGTTTCGCTGATTGTTAAGAGAATAGATTGTTTGATTAAAATGAATCGGATTCTCCCGTACTTGTATCTTGCTCATCATCGGTTGGTGGTACTAAGAGGTCATCGTCACTGGCTTCTTGGTCATTTATTGGTAGTGACATCCAATAGTCATCAGGAGCTCGAGGGCCAAAGTTTGATGGTGTTGATGGGAGAGGAGTTGATGTCGGTTGGCGTCCGTTGATTAGATTAAGGCTAAGTTGTTGTGATGAAGCGACACTTGATGGGATATTGCTTTCGAGGGAAACTGGTACATCTTCAGCCTGTCGGTCAGTTTGAGCTGAATTAGTTTGTGAATTGTTTCCGTTGATTGATTCATTTGGAAATTGATCATCAAAATTGTCAAATAAAAAGTCATCATCATCGTCCATCATATCGTAATCTTCGGGGTCTGTTGGTGTTGGTGTTGGTTCTGGTGCTGGTGCTGATGCTGGTGCTGGCTCTGGCTCTGGTTCTGGTTCTGGTGCTAGTGTTGGTGTTGGTGTTGTATTAATATTCTGGTTGATATTTTCACTTGTATTTTGATTGGTATTTTCATTGATTCTTGAATTTTCCTCTCTATTTCGATCTGAACCAACTGAATTGTGATGCTCCTCGTTACTTATTACACGTTCATCAACAAGATCTTGATCATCCTGATTCCAACTTGAATGTGAATGCCTTGAATTTTGTGTGTTAGATATTGATGGTTGACTATGTTGAGATGAGAATCGATTTCGTCGAGTTGAATTTCCTGTGTTACCTTCCCTTGTTGTGATGAACGGGTTGTTTGATACATTACTGAGCTTCTAGATGAATTTCTAGTTGCATTTGGATGATTAACATCTAAAGTTGCCAGCGCGAGCGATATCTTAGTGTGGGGAGGAGATTCGGCATTAAAGCAGATTGGCCTATGGAAAATAAGAAGGAAAAATAATCAGAAAATACAGTTAATTTGGTAACGAATTGCTTACTGATTAGAACCATCCATATAAATGTCAATCTCTGGAATTCGAATTGAACAGAAGGAAAGAAAAGGCTGAAAAGAAGAGAACATGATAGATTTTAAAAACTAATCAACTAATCCAACAATTTAGAGAGAAAAAAAATCTATTTACTCTGATTAGTCGGAGAGAAAATGTGAGAAAAATTTCATCTGAAACATTGTAAGCATCAAATTCATCGATGTCAATATTAGTTTTGGTTAATTTTCCACTTTTATCTCCTGAATAAATGGATGAAAAGAAAACAATTAAGGATTAGCAAACTGTGATTAAACAAATAAGTAACAATTAACTCAACTGTCTACAAAATGGGTCTCAAAATCAATTGATTGCGGCATCGCCTTCATAGTGACATATTCATCTTCTTTGGCAAAATAAGTCAAAATATCAGCTAAAATCCTGAGAATTGAAATCAAAAATTAACGTTACAATCAGTTGAAACAATCAAACAGGAATAACTACCTCGATTTACAGGTCACTTTATGTTTTCCTTTCTGGAAAATATCATCATTGACATCTAATCCATCACCACCCAAAGGTAAATCCATAGTTTTGACACATTCTAGATGAAAAAATTGAAAGAAAATGAAAACATTTACAAAGGTCAATAAATCAGCGGAAATAGAAAAGGCCAAAAAGATGAGTTTACTTGAGTTGTATGTGAATTTGAACTGAGCTGTATCACGGGAAGATTTGATCTTAATCTCACAATAGTCTAGATTTTTGGACAAAGTTTTCTCCTTTTTGAAAGCTAATAAACATGACTGTCGATGGAAACAAAAAGAAAACACAAATTAGTTAATGAAATCAACAAGAAGGAGGTTGAAAATGAAGATGATGAAATTTTACCCGAGTCTTTAGTTTACAAGTTACTTTGGCATCTCTATTGTTAACTGAGCGATTTCCATTATTTTGGGAATCCTCAATCATGGAATTGTCATTGTTAACGGCTAATCGTCCTTCCACTTCATAGTTTTCAAAAAAATCGCTATCAAAAGAGACCAACATGAAGGCTGATTTATAAGGTTCATTTAGGACTTTGATGGTCAACTGATACGAAACAAAGAAAGAGATTAGAAAAATTACAATTAGAACAAATTAAACAAAGACAGTTAATTCCAATCTCACCTTGGCAGGAGTAGCATCTAAATAAATGTCTTCACCCAATTTACAACAAGAATTAATTGCTTGAGCAAAAGCTAAAATTAAATTAAATAGAGAAGAGAAAAATATTACAACAGGTTCAACACAAATGGAGGCAAAATTTCACGTAAATAGAACATATTTTCCGAATAAAAGGTCAAAAGTCTTTTAACTACTTACATTTGATTCCCAGATTACTAATTTTACAGGAAAATGACATGATATCGACACAATTAATCTCGATAATAAACTGAATTTAGTTTGAAGAATCAGATCAACAAAAAGTAAACAAAATGAAATGTCATCAATTTTACCGCTTATCCAATCAAATGGAAGAACAAAAGTTCCCATCAGATGGCGCTAGAAATTGGAAACTCAGACATTCGTTTCCATGGAGATTTGATTGAAAAGTAAATTGATAATTAACTTTAACATAATTGTTGTAATTGCGATTGTCACGGTTGAATTTGCTTTGATTTTTGTTGGTTAAATGTGGTGTGATTACGAGATGCTATCGGTGTTTGTTTGAACTGTTAACTTTATTGTAATCGTGGAGTTATTTTCGACTCGAAGGAGGGACAATCGTTGTACAGATGAAGTTGCGAATTCGTTGTGATTTGGCCTCCGCCTCGAGTGTTGTTTTTTGCTTAAAATCGACGTGTTTAGATGGTTGAAAGTATCAGTTCGAGTTAACAGTCAACCAACAAACAACAATTAAATCAATTCTTTATTTGTGAATCAACAAACAATCAACAACTAATAATCAAAATGAAAGTTTTCGCTGTGAGTTCACTTAAACAATCAATCGATTTGGATAACAAACACTTTTGGATATTGTTATTATTTAAATGATCTAATGTCACTTTTTCTCTCTTTCTCTCTTTTTCTCTTTCTCTCTGTGATTCTGTTAGATTGTCGCTCTTTTCGTTATCCTCGCTGTTTCTGCCACCATGGCTGACCCATGGAAGAAGGACAATCACTGGGGTGGTCATCATCAACATGGTAAAATCGGATACAAAGTTGATGTAAGTTCCTGTGATTAGTTAATCTTGCCAATGGTTCTAATTTTTTATATGAAATATTAAACATCTTAGGTCAAGCACGGTGGCTGGGGAAAACACGACAAGGGATGGACTGAACTTTACGATTCACGAGACAAAAGCACTGGATGGAAATCACATGGACACGATAACGGTCATGGTCACGGTCATGGTCATAATCACGGATGGAAAAACTAAGAACTTTTATCTCAATTGGTTTAACTTATAATGTTCATCTACCTAATTTATTCTCCATCACAAACTAAACATGTAATTTGAAATAAACCTCAAGTTAAGTCAGCAACTTGATTTTTGTTTTTAATTTATTCATTCACTGAATTAAATCTCTCAAAAAATGTGAATAACGATTCTTTCAAAAAAATTTTTGATTTTTCTTTCAGTATTCTCTTTACAATTATTAACTGAGTTTACACACCAAATATTAGACAACGGCACTTTTTTTATTCAATTACCTGATTTATTTCTATTTGATTAAGATAATAACTATCAATTAATTTGGAACTTACACTTTTGTCATTCGAATATTCGTCTATCTCTCGAAATCAAACCTTTGTTAATCTCCTGTCTTGTGATTAAAATTTTCTTCTTCAAGGTCCAAATAATGTGCGATAAACGTCGTTTTCGTGTTTCCAATTTCGAAACTATTGTTTCTCTAAAGAGCAAAAAAGTTTAAGCAAAATTTAACAGAGAATATGGACAAAATTTAAAATAGATTTGAGCCGAAATAATCTCGACGACGACTCTTAAATGCTGAGAATATCGCAAAATCATCAGCGAAAACAGCCCTGTTTATTATACTGTCTATTCATTTAATTATTCGGATATTTATTGATTTCTTGACAACTTTGGTGACATTCTACAGACTGTAATTAACCAGCTTAAAATGTTACGGATAACGGTGAAATAACGAATTTCCATGAATTTAACATGGAAATATCTGAAAAAGACGGGATTTTGCCTGTGACTCTACACGTCAGTTATAAAACTCGAGTAATTATAATACTTTGGTTAATCCTAAGAAATTAGAATGGCTATTAAGACAAAAAATTCATCTCAATGTACTATCTGATCCGATTTGTTTCATTCAGTAGATTAATTGATCTTATGATAGACATGTTGAAGAACTAACGATAAAGATTAAATTGGCCTAAATATCGTGAATTTACTAGGACTTAATTTCAAGACAATCTGCAAAGGCCAAAAATTTCATGTGAAAGTTAACGGGATAAGTATGCACCTTTGAATGCCGCTTAGTGTTGAATTAAAAGTTAGATCAAAAAGATGATTTGCACGGATTTTTTGATAATTTTAGAGCTTTAATGGTCGGAAAAAATGTATCGAAAAAAATTTTGCATTTAAATGTATCACTTTTCCGACGTGGAGAGGCCACTCTTGGTAACGGCTATATGGAAAAGTTCCGAATCAGAACAAACCAAAACTTACACATTTTCTCTGTTGAATCGCGAAGAAAATAAGCCTGACCTGATAAATAGCCTAGAAATGGTAAAGCGTCAAAAGTCCGGATATTTGGTTGTTACGCTCGTTCGGTTGTTGTATAAAGACAATCGACGACGATTGTTTAAATATTGATAATTCTTTTTCTCTATCTCGTCGAGCAATGAATATTAATTAATATTAGTTAAAAAAAAGTAGAAAAAAGTTACTAATTGAGTATCTTTTCAATAGACGTAAGGACGGTATGAATTTTTGTCTCCGCCTTGAGTTTTATTTTTTGTTTATAATCGAAATGTTTAGATGGTTGAAAGTATCAGTTCGAGTTAACAGTCAACCAAAAAACAACAATTAAATCAATTCTTTATTTGTGTATCAACAAACAATCAACAACTAATAATCAAAATGAAAGTTTTCGCTGTGAGTTCACTTAAACAATCAATCGATTTGGATAACAAACACTTTTGGATATTGTTATTATTTAAATGATCTAATGTCACTTTTTCTCTCTTTCTCTCTGTGATTCTGTTAGATTGTCGCTCTTTTCGTTATCCTCGCTGTTTCTGCCGCTATGGCTGACCCATGGAAGAAGGACAATCACTGGGGTGGTCATCATCAACACGGCAAAGTTGGATACAAAGTTGATGTAAGTTCTAGTTATTTTTTGATCTCGCCAATGGTTCTAATTTTTTATATGTTAAACATCTTAGGTCAAGCACGGTGGCTGGGGAAAACACGACAAGGGATGGACTGAACTTTACGATTCACGAGACAAAACCACTGGATGGAAATCACATGGTCATGATAACGGTTACGGTTCTGGCCATGGTCATGGTCATGGTCACAATAACGGGTGGAAAAACTAAGAAGTTTTAACTCAATCGGATTAACTTATTCTGTTCATTCACTTTATTTATATTCTATGATAAATTAAAACTGTAAATTGAAGAAATATCAACTTGATTTTTACGAATAAATTGCTTTTCAATGAATTAACTTTCTAAAATTTTCCGAAACAAAATATTGATGAATTTTTTGCAGTTAAAATCAATTTCAACATTTATCATTTCTAAATATTAAGATTATTTTTGTTTAAATGCTCGATTGATTTCTGCCTGCTCAAGATTCTAACTTCGATTTTCAATCAAAATGAGACAAATTAATTATAATAAGCAATTTGATCTCTTTTTTATCATCTTCTTCATCTTAGAATGAGAATTAGATTTTCAATTAATCAAAATGACGAGGGACTATCAGAGTTTCTTCACAAAGCGAATTGTAATTTTCAACACCAAATTCTTGCCCCACGTTATATTTGCTCGGACGAAAATTGGACAAACGCTCTTGGTCAGAGAAATCTTGCTAATTGTTGGATTCTTTTTGATTTGGAGGGCCAACTAATTGTCGTATCGATTGGGGGCTAGTTAAAAATCGTTCATCAAACGAGCCTTTCTCATTGATCATACAAACTGCCGATGATACATACGAGTGATCCATCATTTGATTAGCTGTCGGTCGATGTTGATATTTAATTAATTGTCTAATAAAATCAACAGCTAATGGATCCTGACAAGATGAATAAAACTTTTCATACCAAGTTAATTGGTTTGAATTTTGATCAAAAACGATAATCACTTTATTGTAATCAGGCATTTTACTTGCCCAATCAATTGGTGGTTGACCCAACGATTTAACAACCAAACATAATTGCTCAATATCAGATTCACCTTTGAATAGAGGCCATTTAGAGTTCATTTCACTGACAATACAGCCAACTGACCACAGGTCAATTGACCAATCGTAATCATTTGACCCATACAATAGTTCAGGTGGACGATACCAACGAGTACAAACTTGATGAGATAATAAACAATTGGTTGATTGTTGATTGGATGAAGTTGATGATGATGATAAGTAAGTTAACTGATCACCATGATTAAGATTAAAACCTTTAGCTGGAGTCAACTGTTGATCACAATTAGCTGATTGTGGTAAAAGTCGAGCTTGACCAAAATCGGCCAATTTAAGTATCCCTGACCAATCAATCAGTAAATTACTTGGTTTCAGGTCTCGGTGAATAATTGATTGTGAATGACAATAAGATAAACCATCAAGTATCATGTAAGTGTAAATTGATCGTTGAATATTAGTTAAATTGTATTCGTAAATCAGTGTAGTTAAATTAACTGGATACAAAGGGAAAACCATATTAATCGATTATATTCACGATAACGGTTACGGTCATAATCACGGATGGAAAAACTAACAACTCTTAACTCAATCGGATTAACTTATTATGTAGATTTACTTAATTTATACTCCCTCATAAAGTTAACTTGTAATTTAAACAAATATCGAGTTTCTCAGTTTGATTTTGGCGCTTACTAAACTCTCCAGATCTCACCTCCAGGTGACACAGAAAATGAGAAAGATAAAGCAAATTTTCAGTCTTATTTTATCATAAGCGGTTCATTTTATAAAATCTCTTACTTACAATTATCTCCAAATTAGTTTAATCCTTTATTCAATTAGTGTATAATCGACAATTGACAATCACGAAAAAAAAACAAAATGTCACTCATTCATCTTAAAGGTCTGCCGATACTGGATGGTAAGGATAAAGAAAAGGTTATTATATGGTTTACACATCCGAATGAAAACAACATGTCTGATGAAATGATTAAAGGAAAACTCGCCGCAATGAATGGTATTGATGAAGGAAATATTGACAGAGTAATCAAAATAACCTCAATCTATGAAACCAAAATTTTTATTGTGATCACTAAAGCAGAAAGAAACAGGCTGTTCACCAACTATGGCAACATGATGTGCTTCGAAGCGGAGCTTTACCCTGCGTATGATCTACCTGATATTGAGCTTATGAAAAAATGGATCTCACTCGGAGAAAACAGAGAAGAACTGAAACAGTTAATAAAAACATGGGGTTACGAGAAAATTATGTTTGCGAGAATCCCAAATGAATACATTTGGTGTAACGCTGACAACAAGAGATATAACAATATTCGAAAACAGATGACATCACTTCTTGCATAAAGAAAAGTCAACGCGGTTAAATATAATATTTAAAATATTAACCAAAACTCACCGCGCTGAAAACTCACCTAATTTACCTTATGTGACTTAAAATTTTCTCTTTATGTTTTTGCTCTTTGTTCCTTCTTCTTTTTCTTTTTTCTCTACTGTACTTGTTTTCTTGTTTACTCCTCTCAAGTGACAATTCTTTTTCCTTTTTCTCCATAATCGAAATGTTTAGATGGTTGAAAGTATCAGTTCGAGTTATCAGTCAACCAATAAACAACAATCAAATCAATTCTTCTTTTGTGAATCAACAACTAATAATCAAAATGAAAGTTTTCGCTGTGAGTTCATTTAATCAATCAATCGATTTGGATAACAAACACTTTTGGATATTGTTGTTATTTAAATGATCTAATGTCACTTTTTCTCTCTTTCTCTCTCTCTCTTTTTCTTCGTGATTCTGTTAGATTGTCGCTCTTTTCGTTATCCTCGCTGTTTCCACCGTCATGGCTTACGAGAAGGACAATCACTGGGGTGGTCATCACCAACACGGAAAAGTTGGATACAAAGTTGATGTAAGTTCTCGTGATTAGTTGATCTTGCCAATTGTTCTAATTATTTGTATGAAATATTAAACATCTTAGGTCCACCATGGTGGTTGGGGAAAACACGACAAAGGATGGACTGAACTTTGCGATTCCCGAGACAAAAGCACTGGATGGAAGTCACATGTCCACGATAACGGATGGAAAAACTAAGAACTTTCATCTCAATCGGATTAACTAATTTTATTCATTCTCCTTATTTTTAAATTCATGATAAATTTATGGATAAAATAATGAAAGTCAATCTATAATGCAAAGACATATTGAGTCTGGACTCTTGATTCCTTCTAATAAACTGTTCATCTTATAAATAGAATTACAAAAAACTAAGTAATTCTTCAAAACTTAACAAACTACAACAGTAAAATCTGATTAATCTATTTTCCTTGCGATTCAAACAGTTCAGCTTATATTCAAGCATCACTCTGAACTTATCGGGTAAATCAATCTACTTTGGTCAAGTTTCTTCGTAAATCTAGTTTATCATTTAGACCGCTCGGGAGATGTTATCTCATCATATGAATGAAAAAGTTTGGACAAAGTCCGTGAAACAATCTGATTATTTTCGCTCAGAACTAGCTTTTTATCATTAAATTCCTGTAAAGCGCCAACTTGCATAATGCTTACTACCAGTTTCAGGTTTGATTAAATTTTGTTGTTAATTAGTTGATTCTCTAAACTCTCATATAATACTATTAATATAAACCTGCAATTTTTGAGCAGTCATAAGAAAAAAAGCTCGAAAACTTGATAGTATTACCTAACATGAAAAGTTTAAAATCGAATGCCAGTCAATTGAACTTTTTTGCAAAGATTCTTACAGTATTGCTGATTTGCTTGCGATAGGAAAAACTTGTGAGACAAAATTTGCATAAATAAGTAATCGTCTTAACTCTTCGTATGTGTGGACCACGGCACCGACTTTAGCTAAGATTGGAGGAGTTTTCTCAACATAGGAGGTGGTACAAATTTTTTAGAAATTGAATAACGACTTCGCTGGAATTCTGGCCTTTTTACAATTAGATAAACGAAAAGGAGGTATTGAAACTAAATCCCGATCTCCGCCTCGAGTGTTGTTTTTCGCTTATAATCGAAGTGTTTAGATGGTTGAAAGTATAAGTTCGAGTTAACAGTCAACCAACAAACAACAATCAAATCAATTCTTTCAACTCAAATACAAACTACAAATTTGAAAGCCATTCGTTAGATCATGAAAGCATGATCATGATATGATAATCGTTAGCCAATTCGAGTATTCGATGACTTCAGACTCCAAAGAACATTAAATTAAATGAAAGAAAAATTATCATCAAACTTTGGATACAAAATCTTCGTAATCCTGGTTAAAAAGTTTCGTTAGGTTGATAATTTATATAAGTATCGTGTACAGTTGCATCATCACAAGCGTCACATTTGATAGCAAAATGAGAAGGTAGATAGCATACGATTTTGTTGGTATAGCTGTGTTTGTTGCGGCCGTGACACTTTCCCCTTTCTAAACACTTCGACTAATAATAAAAATAAAACAAAAAAGCCATTTATTGCTTTATCAAAATTAAGGATATTGTCTCTGAAAATGAGTGCCTCTGGTGTACGTTTTCCAAACATTTATAAGTTTCAAGGTCATTGCGATCATTTTTATGTTCTTCTTTTCAGAAAAACCTTTAAATGACCTCTAATTGGGTTTATCGTGGAATGACCTTGAAACTTTTTATGAGAATTTCTTCAGATCTGATACATGTATATATCTGTACGAGACATTTTCGAGATAATTTTAAACTCACTGGTTCTTGACTTATAGCAATCTGCGTAAAATAGATCTGAATAGCCATTTACATTCAGTTAATTATTCACATAATTATTAAAAACTAGATAGGTTAGGTTAGGTTAGGTTAGCGATTACGACTTTAAATAACGTTGTCTGGTATTAAAAATTGATTTACCAACTTTGAATGGCATTGCACAAGGTAAAATTAACAAACAACTAATGATAATTTACTCTTCTTTTATAAAATTAAATTATTTAATCCTTTATACTTTTCTTTTTCTGTCCCCAACTTAATTTAACTTTCTAACTGTAATTGACCAGCTTAGAATGTTACGGATAACGGTAAAATAACGGATTGAATTTAACATAGAAATAGACAAAGACGGGATTTGGCCTGGTACTCAGAGACTCTGCACGTCAGTTATCATAAAATTCAGGTATTTGTCGGTATAATCACTTTGGTTAATCACAAAAGCCAGAATGACTGAATACCACTATTCTTCGAAGTATAAGGCCGAGAAATTATTTTTCCAAAAAGTCCATAATATAAAGACAATCGGAAACGATTGCTTAGATATTCATAATACTTTTTCACTATCTCGTCGAGCAATAAATATTTATTAGTTAATAGTTAAAAAAATAGAAAAAAGTTATCAATTGAGTATCTTTTGAATAGACGTAAGGACGATATGAATAATGAATTTTTGTCTCCGCCTCGAATGTTGTTTTTTGTTTATAACCGAAGTGTTTAGATGTTTGAAAGTATCAGTTCGAGTTAACAGTCAACCAACAAACAACAAACAAATCAATTCTTTATTTGTGAATCAACAAACAATCAAAAACTAATAATCAAAATGAAAGTTTTCGCCGTGAGTTCATTAAATCAATCGATCGATTTGGATATTGTTATTATTTAAATGATCTAATGTCACTTTTTCTCTCTTTCTCTCTGTGATTCTGTTAGATTGTCGCTCTTTTCGTTATCCTCGCAGTTTCTGCCGCCATGGCTTACGAGAAGGACAATCACTGGGGTGGTCATCACCAACACGGAAAAGTTGGATACAAAGTTGATGTAAGTTCTTGTGATTAGTTGATCATGTCAATGGTTCAATTCTAATTACTTGTATAAAATATTAAACATCTTAGGTTCACCATGGTGGTTGGGGAAAACACGACAAGGGATGGACTGAACTTTACGATTCTCGAGACAAAAGCACTGGATGGAATTCACATGGTCACGATAACGGCTACGGTCATGGTTATGGTCATGGTCATGGTCACAATAACGGATGGAAAAACTAAGAGCTTCAACTCAACCGGATTAACTTATTTTGTTCATTCTCCTAATTTATAAATTCATAATAAATTTATGCATATAATAATGAAAATCGTTCTGTAATACAAAGAAATATCGAGTCTGGACTCTCGATTCCTTCTAATAAATTGATTATCTTATAGATAAAACTACAAAAAACTAATTAATTCTTCAAAACTAATCGTGTAAGTGAATTTACTTTGATCAGGTTTCTTCGTAAAGCTAGTTTATCATTCAGACCGCTCGGAAAATGTTATCTCATAAAATGAATGAAAAAGTTTGGACAAAGTTCGTAAAACAATCTGATAGTTATTTTTACTCAGAATTAGCTTTTTATTATTAAATTCCTCTAAAGCGTCAACAGTTTCATGTTTGCTTAAATGCTGTTGAAATTTGCACTTGATTATTGCATTGTCAAATTCATCCGGTAGCGCAGATTATCAATAAATGTTTTGCATTAATTTTATCTCCAAAAGTTCAATATTCAACGACGAAGAAATGACCTGTACGTAAAAAGATGGAAAGAGGAAAACAGAAACTGTTGTTAATTAGTTTTTTTCTGAACTCTCATATAATACTTTCAATCTAAATCTACAGTTTTCGAACATTCATAAGAAACGAAAACTAGATAACGTTACCTAACATTAAAAGATTAAAATGGAATGCGTGTCAATTGAACTTTTTTGCAAAGATTCTTACATGTATTGCTGATTTGCATGAGATAAATAAAATTTGGGAGACAAAATTTACATAAACAATTAATCAGCTCAGCTTTTCGTATGTGTGGACCACGACACCAACTTTAGCTAAGATTGTAGGAGTTTTCTCAACATAGGAGGTGGATAGGAGGAACAAATTTTTTTGAAATTAAATAACGACTTCACTGGCATTCTGGCCTTTTTATAAGTACATAAACAAAAGGAGGTATTGACACTAAATCTCGGTCTCCGCCTCGAGTGTCGTTTTTTGTTTATAATCGAAGTGTTTAGATGGTTGAAAGTATCAGTTCAAGTTAACAGTCAACCAACAAACAACAATCAAATCAATTATTTATTTGTGAATCAACAAACAATCAACAACTAATAATCAAAATGAAAGTTTTCGCTGAGTTCATTTAATCAATCAATCGATTTGGATAACAAACACTTTTGGATATTGTTATTATTTAAATGATCTAATGTCAATTTTCTCTTCTTCTTCGTGATTCTGTTAGATTGTCGCTCTTTTCGTTATCCTCGCAGTTTCTGCCGCCATTACGAGAAGGACAATCACTGGGGTGGTCATCACCAACACGGAAAAAGGATACAAAGTTGATGTAAGTTCTGTGATTAGTTGATCATGTCAATGGTTCAATTCTAATTACTTGTATAAAATATTAAACATCTTAGGTTCACCATGGTGGGGAAAACACGACAAGGGATGGACTGAACTTTACGATTCTCGAGACAAAAGCACTGGATGGAATTCACATGGTCACGATAACGGCTACGGTCATGGTTATGGTCATGGTCATGGTCACAATAACGGATGGAAAAACTAAGAGCTTCAACTCAACCGGATTAACTTATTTTGTTCATTCTAATTTATAAATTCATAATAAATTTATGCATATAATAATGAAAATCGTTCTGTAATACAAAGAAATATCGAGTCTGGACTCTCGATTCCTTCTAATAAATTGATTATCTTATAGATAAAACTACAAAAAACTAATTAATTCTTCAAAACTAATCGTGTAAGTGAATTTACTTTGATCAGGTTTCTTCGTAAAGCTAGTTTATCATTCAGACCGCTCGGAAAATGTTATCTCATAAAATGAATGAAAAAGTTTGGACAAAGTTCGTAAAACAATCTGATAGTTATTTTTACTCAGAATTAGCTTTTTATTATTAAATTCCTCTAAAGCGTCAACAGTTTCATGTTTGCTTAAATGCTGTTGAAATTTGCACTTGATTATTGCATTGTCAAATTCATCCGGTAGCGCAGATTATCAATAAATGTTTTGCATTAATTTTATCTCCAAAAGTTCAATATTCAACGACGAAGAAATGACCTGTACGTAAAAAAGATGGAAAAGAGGGAAAACAGAAACTCTGTTGTTAATTAGTTTTTTTCTGAACTCTCATATAATACTTTCAATCTAAATCTACAGTTTTCGAACATTCATAAGAAACGAAAACTAGATAACGTTACCTAACATTAAAAGATTAAAATGGAATGCGTGTCAATTGAACTTTTTTGCAAAGATTCTTACATGTATTGCTGATTTGCATGAGATAAATAAAATTTGGGAGACAAAATTTACATAAACAATTAATCAGCTCAGCTTTTCGTATGTGTGGACCACGACACCAACTTTAGCTAAGATTGTAGGAGTTTTCTCAACATAGGAGGTGGATAGGAGGAACAAATTTTTTTGAAATTAAATAACGACTTCACTGGCATTCTGGCCTTTTTATAAGTACATAAACAAAAGGAGGTATTGACACTAAATCTCGGTCTCCGCCTCGAGTGTCGTTTTTTGTTTATAATCGAAGTGTTTAGATGGTTGAAAGTATCAGTTCAAGTTAACAGTCAACCAACAAACAACAATCAAATCAATTATTTATTTGTGAATCAACAAACAATCAACAACTAATAATCAAAATGAAAGTTTTCGCTGTGAGTTCATTTAATCAATCAATCGATTTGGATAACAAACACTTTTGGATATTGTTATTATTTAAATGATCTAATGTCAATTTTTCTCTCTTTCTTTCTTCGTGATTCTGTTAGATTGTCGCTCTTTTCGTTATCCTCGCAGTTTCTGCCGCCATGGCTTACGAGAAGGACAATCACTGGGGTGGTCATCACCAACACGGAAAAGTTGGATACAAAGTTGATGTAAGTTCTTGTGATTAGTTGATCATGTCAATGGTTCAATTCTAATTATTTGTATGAAATATTAAACATCTTAGGTCCACCATGGTGGTTGGGGAAAACACGACAAAGGATGGACTGAACTTTACGATTCCCGAGACAAAAGCACTGGATGGAAATCACATGGTCATGATAACGGTTACGGTCATGGTTATGGTCATGGTCATGGTCACAATAACGGATGGAAAAACTAAGAACTTTCAGCTCAATCGGATTAACTTATTATGTAGATTTACTTAATTTATACTCCATCATAAAGTAAACTTGTAATTAAAACCATCAGTTAATTACCAGACCATCTTCTTAATTAAATTTATCACTATGTCATATTTATCATGTAATTATTTAAAGTTATATTCTAAAAACTTCTTTCAAAGTATATTATTTCAAAGTACTTCAATTTAAATGTTAAAATCTACATAAAAATCTTCATCAATAGAAATTTTGAAACTTGTGATATTTTAGTTTAAAGAATATTTCATATAAATGTTTCATTTAACATTGCAAAGTTTCTCACTCAAAAGTTAACTGTTACACTTTCGCTGTCTAATTAACTCTAAAACGATTCTAGGTCAAGTTCGAAATGGAATAAAATAGCCACCAACTTGCCTTAAGTAACTAATTAGTCTTGAGAGACAAAAAATATTCGAAATCGTTGCTTTGCGATCACTCGTAATAACAGTCTGACTATTTCGTTAGTCGACTTACCGATAATCCATTATGAATATCTATTCAATTACTAAGAACTAGATTAACACAGTGACCGAATATCGAGTTTCTCAACTTGATTTTTGTGATTAAATGATTATCATAAGCACGAAAAACTAACCGTATAATCAATCTTTTTATGGAAATTTCATCAATTTCAGTAATCACTAAGGTATCATACTAAGCCATATCTGAATTAATGAAGAAATTTTGGTCATAAAGATTTTGACTAATCTCATATCAGACTGAAAATCAGAGAGATCAATACAGTCTCCGTCAAAAGTCTAATAAGCACGTTAATTGTTGATAGTGCAGAAACATAGTAACTGGAAACGTTGAGATAGACTGAGGTACTTTTGCCTCGATTTCAGAAAAGAAAAGGCCATTTACTCAAAATGTTATTCGGGCACTGGAGGAGTAATGGTTTCGGCAGGATTTTCGTTGGGCGAAATTGTTGAAATTGCACGCCAGAAATGGCCCCATACACTCATGTTTAATTCTTAAAGTGGAAATGTTTGTAAAGTGGTCTAAAGTAATCTTCGAACTCTGAGAAAGTTTAATTTTCTCAATTATAGTCACGGTAAAAAGCTCGAGGAGATTCGATCGATCATTCATCATTATAATAATCGAAATTCCTTTGATTGTCCTCAAACTTTTGACAATTTGATTTCAGTGTAATTCTGATAATCAGTTGACTAACTCGTTAATGCAAATTGTATGAAAATTTTCGGTCTTAATTTTGCTAATACTGAACCCAATTCTAATTTATTCTAACCAGAATTCGAGCTACAATTAATTGATTGTTGTCCTTAAACTTTTGACGAAGCTGTGCAAATATGAGTCGATTGTAACTGTTACTCGAATGGTCAATCAGGTATATTTTTTCCGCATCATTGGCGAAACAATTAATAATATTGACTTTTATTATCTCGTTACGATTAACTATTATAATTAGTTGAACAAACGTGCCTAATTGTTTTTATAACTTTTGTTGTGAATTTATTTTTGTTAATTTATAATAAGTTAATATCTTCCAATTGTTTGGTTAATTGTGGTGAAAACGCAGGAAAAAGGCATCGTAATGTATTCGTAGGAGGTTCAAACGTTAGTGTGATTGAAGTTACGATTTCGTTGAAATTTGGCCTCCGCCCTAAGAGTCATTTTTTGTTTATAACCGAAATGTTTAGATGGTTGAAAGTATCAGTTCGAGTTAACAGTCAACCAACAAACAACAATAAAATCAAATTCTTTATTTGTGAATCAACAAACAATCAACAACTAATAATCAAAATGAAAGTTTTCGCTGTGAGTTCATTTGATCAATCAATCGATTTGGATAACAAACACTTTTGGATATTGTTATTATTTAAATGATCTAATGTCACTTTTTCTCTCTTTCTCTCTCTCTCTTTTTCTTCGTGATTCTGTTAGATTGTCGCTCTTTTCGTTATCCTCGCTGTTTCCACCGTCATGGCTTACGAGAAGGACAATCACTGGGGTGGTCATCACCAACACGGAAAAGTTGGATACAAAGTTGATGTAAGTTCTCGTGATTAGTTGATCATGTCAATGGTTCAATTCTAATTATTTGTATGGAATATTAAACATCTTAGGTCCACCATGGTGGTTGGGGAAAACACGACAAGGGGTGGACTGAACTTTACGATTCACGAGACAAAAGCACTGGATGGAAATCACATGGTCATGATAACGGTTACGGTAACGGTTATGGTCATGGTCATGGTCACAATAACGGATGGAAAAACTAAGAACTTTCAACTCAATCGGATTAACTTATTATGTAGATTTACTTAATTTATACTCCCTCATAAAGTCGACTTGTAATTTAAACAAATATCGAGTTTTGCAACTTGATTTGTGTGATTAAATGATTATCATAAGCACGAAAAACTAATTTCATTCTTAAAACTTTCTGAAACAATCGGATAGAATCGATCATCTTCTAAATCGATTCTTTTTTAACACTCGAGCAAAAATAATCGATTTGTCGATTTCGTTTACCGATTCAAATTTCGATTTCGAGAGAAACAAAAATAATCGGATTCTAAGCCTCATCTTCAGTTAGTTGTCTGATGTCTTCTCAACAGAATGTTTTATATTATTTCGCAATTTAATTTATTAACTAATTTCTACGATTATGGAGATTCGTAAATTATTTCCATGTAAATTAAATTGTTCACCAATAAGTGTAAATACAGTTTATCTCATTCTATTAACAATTAGTGTCCAAGTGATACAATTAACGGAATCAAGTAACTTACGTAAGTCTAATAACTTGATTGTCTTTTCTTGTCTAATTCCAGTTCATAGTAAAGGTTATTGCTATGTCGTTTGTTGGACTCGAGTCAAGAATCAGTTCTTAACGATGTCAATAATAATAATCGTAGTTAATTGTTGCCTTACCAATTTCATCTATTAGAGAGATGATCAAATCTTCAATGTAAAAGTAATTTAGTTTCTAAATTGTAATGGTAATTCAACAATAAGATGGTGATTAAACTTTACTCTTACACAATTGTCATCTTATATTAATAGACATTGAAAGTTAACATTTGGTTAACATTCAACTATATTTACCATTTAAATTGTTCATTCAACTGTAGGTTAATCATCATTATAATCAAGTTGATTGTTGCGGTTTGTTGGGTGATTCATTGATGATTGTCAACTTACATTATGTTGATTAACTTAATTGTTACACTTTTGATATTTTCTTGAGGTTAAATTCACTAGAAATCCTCATAAACATAATAAACCAAATCAAATGTTAATTACTATTAATTAATCAAGCCAAGATTTTACATTTATTTTTAAACTGTAAACAACTTTTTTCCTTAATCATAACCATCATATCCTCAGTATAGTAGTTAATTGTTTCAATGGAAACAGTTGCTCGTAAATTGTTACAATTTAGTATTTGATTGAAGTAATATTTACAATAACAAACAGCACAATTAACTGAATCTGCATCATTGATAATCAATCATTTTCAGTTTTCCCCAATCAATTAATCAAATCATTGGAATCAATGGTTAATAACTGTTATCAAATGATGATTGTGAACAGCAACAAATTGTTAGCTTCCTAATAAGTGAAAGTTAATCAAATTGTCCATTTAATTAGCCGAAACTTTTTGATTATCTGACTGACCACTGAACCTTTTGTCCATCTTTAGCCTTACTATCTGCAAGCTTACGGACATTTCAAGCTCACGCCTGTGATGGTCAACAATTAATGTTAGAGTGTCTACCGAATACAGTGATTAATATTTACGTCGTTAATTATGGACTAACAATTGGATCACAAGTTTGCCAAAAATCATCAATATCTTACCAATCTTATGACGATGATATTGATGATAAAAGCTCACCTTTGAATCCATCCAATATGATTGCAATGGGATCATCATTATCTCCTAATCAAACCAACCAAATCAATCAACCAGCAATCAAATCAAATTGTCAAACAACAGACAATCTAAAGGTAATTATTATTAATCTCTAATTAAAATTACTATTAAGCTAATCCTTAATCCCTTATCTGTAGCTTTATTGCTAATCATTCAATTGAATATTTATTGATTTCGATTGGTAATTGTTACAATTCATTATCTTGTCAAATTTATTATCATAATAATTAGAGTGCTACAATATCCGTTTCCGTTTTTTTCTGCTTCTAGTTTTCAAAATTTTTTATTTCTCTTAAAATAATTTAACTTAAATGAGAAAATAGTAAATTGTTTTTAACAATTAACATAAATAATGATGTTAATTATCATTTACAATTAAACATTTGAATGTCATTATTATTATCGTTGAGTGATCATAATTATAACACAATTGATATTCACACACAACAAATATTAAAACTATTGAATAATTAACAAGTAAATTGGAAAACAACAAAATATTAATAACTAAATGTAAGTAGATAGATACAGTTGAATGGTCAAGTTTTAGGTCATTTAACATACTCTAAAATCATACCTAATCAGTACAACACCCATAAGGTCAAGCTTAAGGTCAAACATTTGATATAATATAATATCCATACAAAGGTTGGATCTTGATAATTATCAAAATAGATAATCGGAAAACAAAAAATGCGCCAAATTTGGGTAAAGTTTATTTAACCGTAAAAGTTTAATTAGCTCAATGAAGAGAGAGAGAGAGATGGAGATGAAGATGAAGATGAGGATGAAGATTGGGAGTTAACTCACCCAAAGATTTTGATATATTATTATGATGTTATGAATCTAATGCCAGAGTAACTTGAACATTAAATTTGCTTAGTGTGTTGGGTAAACCGTAAAGGAGAAACAGAAAACCTTTTGGAAAGTTACAGTCGCTAGAAGAAAATTTTGTTTTTCTTTCAAATTCATCCAACTAAATCCTCTAGAAAAAAAAACATGGAGATAGTTTTTTTTGTCTTCTACTGTCTTTTTCCTCTCATCATCATCATCATTTTATATTTTATGTTATTCTCACATTTACTTTCTGATAGCTTATCCTTAAAGCACTTTTTCCCAATCATGTTTTCGCAATATAATTTATCTCATTTTCTGTTGGTGTTTTTTCACGTCTAGAACTTTTTTTTCATGATAATCTTGAGTCAGAAATTGTAACCAACAATCAATCAAGTACCGAATCAGCAGTTTCTTTTACTATTATCATCATTTATCTATCTATCAATTAGATTATCATAATAATTCAGTAATCAGTTGAGTCTTTGCTTCATTGATTTCAGGTTCATTGAATGGGCATCATTACAATATAATTCAGTTCAGAGGATTTAGACTTTCAAATGGAATAATTTTTTCTGCTCTTTTTTTCCATGTCAATCCTTTCTCATGGATTTACAGAGCTTTTTTCCCTCTTTGCATCCAGAATAATTCACAGGGATAATTGTATTTTTTTCTAGTTTGCTTTACTCTTTTTTTTCTTCATCTTATTTGCAAACGGTTTGCAAATGATCAACATATGCAAACAACACACTGAGTAAACATACTAACTGGACCTCGATCTATACCCTTGACCACACCAATCTCCCTCTGTGTTGGTGTGGGAGGGCATGTTTATCTTTTGCTGGACATTGACGGAGATGAGGTTATAATTGGAACCTTTTTTTTTAACGTTTCAAAAGAAAATGAGTTTGAAAATTTTGGAGAAAAAAAAATCATTGTCTTTGCATTTTCTTTTTTAGAATTATCTTCTTGGAACATCTTCCTCCCTTTTAGCATCTTCTTCTCATCTTTTTCTTCCTCATCTTTCTCATCCTCATCTTCATCTTACATTCTTATTTTACTCTCATCTCTCCAAGTCTCATGTTTCACTGAAAAGATGAAGAGAGAGAGAGAGAGAGAGAGAGAGTTACAGAGATACAGTAAAATCTAAGCAAAAGTACAAACATTTGTGCAACTTTGTTGTATTGTCCATCTCAATGTCCACCTCTCATCTTCAAACATCTCTATCTTCTGTCTCATCTTTCCTTTCAGGGTCCATCCCATGTCCAGTTTAATTCTTACAATCGAATCATTTGTCTGTCACAATTGATCTTCATCTCTTTCATATTCAATAGTTTCACTTGAATTAGCAAAGGTCATTAAGGTTACAGTTAACATTTTTACTTTCATTGCAAATCTAATCACAACAGAAAAAAAAGAATCAGCAATCGTATCATTCATAATTGAATAAACTACATAATATGATATGCATCATGAAATTCATGATGATGAGCATCATCATCATCACAATTATATCATCATTGACAATCATCTTATGATCTGAATATCATGATAACCATTAGTTGAATAGTAATCAAATGAAATCAACATAACACCCCAATAAATATTTGATTGTAAGCAAAAAATGTAATCAATGATAATTGATATTATTATCACAAAATGATCATATTGATTTACCGTAATGGTCAATTTAATTGACACACAAATTTACCTGAATAATCATCAATTTGATTACACAATAGGTTTTACCTTTAATTACACTAACACCTAATGTTTATCATGACCATGATGATGATAATCATTATTAAAGATACTTACAGAATCCTATTCAATAATTAGCACTTGATTACCATGAAATTATAATAATAAATTGATTCCTCTGTCCACTTGAATCTTTAATTGTTGATTGAACAAATTTTAACTCTAAATATTTACTTGATTATCATTATCATTCAGTATTCATTGTTGAACAAGGCTGAAAGTGCCTGCAGGGAGCAGCAATCATGTAAAATAATGACCGATCCTAAATCATTTGGAGGAGTTGACCCTTGTCCAGGTATAACCAAATATGCTGAAGTTACATATAAATGTCGTCCAAGTGAGTAATTAAATCTAATCAATATTTATCCTTGAACAATCAGTGTAATTTTTAATTTAATCATAACCATGATTACAGAACTTGTCATGTTTATATCATGTTGTCTCTTTCTCTCTTATCTTTTCAATTAAAATCCTTCAGGAATTGAGTTGATTAGTGATAACATGATAACTTGATTATATCATGATGACAATGATAATTTAATGGTAATATGAATATTCAATGATAAATTACTTTCCAAACAATAGTAAAACATAATAATAACCTGAACTTTAGTGAATGAAAATGTTGATATCATGTAAACTCATCATGAGAGAGAGAGAGAGAGAAAGATGAACAGAAGAAAAAAAATTCATTCGTTATCTATTTTAATATGAACATATTTCCACCATGATACAGTTTCCATGTTGAACTGAACTTTTTGTTTATTGATTTTTTGTGTTTTTTTATATTCTCTTTCCCTTTTCCTGATTCACCTTCCACCTCTTACTTTTTCTTGTTGTTCATGATTCAATTATGTTTCCCTCGATGTTGATGTGTCTCTCCATAAAAATTAATCATCATAATCACCCTGAACATCACCATCACCATCATCATCACCATCATCTTGCTTATCAATATATATTACATGATAGATATATTTTATAATAAAATTGTTTGCGAGGATCACAAGATGAGATTATCATGTAAAAAGTATCATCGGATAATGATTTACTCAGCATTTTTTGGATCAACTAAATCCGGTGTAGCTGAATGCCCTCAGGTCAGTTTACCACCAGCATCACAGTTATCATCACAGGTAAATAATAATAACAACAATGATGAATGCTCAATAAGGATGACAACTGAGAAAGCAGTTTCTACCTGTAATGGTTTACGTAATTGTGAGTTAATTGCTAATCGTGAGACATTTAATAAATCTGGTTGTGCCAAATCAACGAGACTTCATATGAAAATTGTCTATGCTTGTGTACGTCGTGAAGTATTGAAAAGTTCAATCGGTAAATCAACTGAATCGCCAGGAGGTGCAAATGAAATGATTTATCCGGATGAAATCATTTCTAATGATAAGTTAACATCAACAACAACAACGATTTCAAGTAAATCACCATCTTCATCTTCATCTTCATCTTCAACAGTTGATTATAGTGGTTACATGGGTGCACCTAGAGTGGCACCGGAAGAAGAGGATAAAGATTTATCATCCAAAGTGACTCCTTCATCATCTATTATCTCCTCTGAATCTTACCTTAAATCAAAGGAACCTCTTAATGATCCAATTCGAGTTCCTATTAAGGATGGATTAGGAACAAGTTCATCGGACTCAGATGATCCATATCATGGTAATAATAATAATTCATCTCTACTTCACCCAAGGAAAGCTCTTGGTTTCATGGTTGATTGGCTATCAGCTTATAAATTCATCAAAGGTAATCAGTTAATTGTGAATAATTTATCATCTCACTTTTATCAATTTTTTTCATCTCTATGGTTGATCCTGATTTTTTTTTATTACTCTGATATTCATTAAATTTTCATTGATGATGATGATGATGATTAAAAAACACGTGATGATTAACTAATCAACTTGTGTTGATATTGATTATTTAATCAATCATTTATCCTGATGATGAATCGTGTCTTCAACTTTGATAATTTAATTTATCAAATTGCTTTCAGGGAAAAAAAGTTCAATTCAATTATTAACAACAATTACAGAGACCATTATTTTAATGACAAAGTGAATTAGCTTTTAAATCAATTTAACTTTAACTAACCGGTTAATTGTTGACTGTTAATAATTAGATTTACACAGTTTAAGGTTGTTGATTATTGTTCATTTATTTGAGTGTTGCAATATTGTTGAAACTGTTGATCAAAATTTAATCAGCTGATGTTATTATTTGTTTGATTGATTGTTTAGCAATAATAGTAAGCAAACAATCAACAGAAAAGTAAACGTTTAATTGAAACAACTGAAACTGTCAATGGTCAATCATTAAATGACCAGAACAAGAAGAGAACAAGAAAACTTTTCTTTATACCGATTTGCTTGTTAACCAGAAAGACGATTTATCTTCAGTAATCTTCAGGTAAAGAGAGAGAGAGAGAGAGAGAGAGAGAGAGAGAGACTTATTATCTCATGAGTATCTCAGGTATTTCAGGGGAATTTATTAGCAAGGATGAAAATAGAATTGTAATCATCCCAAAAATCGAATCGAAATGGAAGAGTGAGACTGAAATGAGAATGAGAATGAGAGAGAAATAAAGTTCTAAAGTGGAAAAGAGAAACAAGTTGAGAGGAAAAAGACCTTTGGGTCAGTGTCTTAAGGTAAGAGAGCGAAAATGTTGATTGATAAGATGGATCACTTTTTATTGACCATTTAAAGTGGTCACTAGTTTTTACCTCTAATAATATGAAACCAATTTAACGACGATCCTTGATTACTTATCATTTTCAGGTTGAACAATAACATTGAAGGGAAAAACAGTTTCAAAATGATCGGATATTTGTGACCTAAATGATTATGGTAACCAATTCATGGTGATAACCATGATCACTTGACTTATATGCAAACATTGTTATTATTATAACAACAAAAACGAGAGCGAGTAACTTGATACACATTAAATGAAGTATCACCAACTAACACTGATTATATTTGATTATCAACAATTTTCAAGACTTAATCCTTTTTCTCAATAATATTTTCATCCATAAACCAAATCCCTTTGAAACTTATTAAAACTTATCATTAGTTCACATGTTACAATAGATATTAGATATTATAACTCCCATTGGAACTCATTCCGTGATATTTAACATGAAAGTAGCTTCATGAACTCCATGTATCATGAATATACTAATATTCAGAATTCATTTTATCTTCTACTCATTTTTTGTTCACTCTTCATCTCTTCAATCATATAAATGATTCAACCCATTGAATTGATAACAATAGTAGCTCATCCTAATGGTTATCATCTTTCCCATTATCCTCATCCTCATCATCTTCATCATCATCATCATCATATTTTCACTTTCAATTGTAATAGTAAAATCTTTTCACTTTCAGTTTTCATCTACAGATGAAATTATATCTCCATAGAAAGTAAAAGAAACTCACTCAAATTCTGACCTAAAAAATGAACTTTTTACTTATTCAATTTTCATTCGATTCTTTTTTCTTCCTTTTCCCACCGCCAATCAACCTTCCACCTCCATCATTACCACCACAGATAAAGCTGAGATGATTGCTGTTTGTCTAATTCTGTCAATTGTTGTGGCTTCCCTCCTTTTCCTTGTCTTCCTTTCAACCAATCAGCTGATAATCTTGAGACATCCAACTAATAATAGTAATGATGGTAAATCATGTAAATCGAAACAAGAAAGTTCCAAGAAAAAGAAACCATTCAGCCCGAAAAAAGCGTTAACATCATCACCTTTTAGACTGGGAGGTAGAGGCTCAGGTAGATGTGAAATCGATGGTCTAGATGATACAACAGTTGACCAACTATTGGAAGAACTTGATCCAGTATTAGTTAATTCAATTGGAATCAATGATTCATTAAATAATCACCAAATGGCTTTAACATCATCTCATCACAGTTTCCATGATTTTCGTGCTCATTCAAAACCTTTAATTACCGATGGACTTCCGTTTCCTGCCTCCTCTGGTCAAACTTACAGTTTTACCTCAAGTTTATCTCGAAATGGTGGTCAAGGTATCAATCGACTTTCCTTTGGTAGGCCAATTCAACCACCTACCGCTCCAATTGCAATTACACCTCCCACCATGACAATATCCTCTCCCATTGAGAATATCAGTTTATCATCACCTCCACCACCGCCAACAATTAATTGTCTTTATCATCATCAAACTGATTCAAATCCAAGATCCATGACCGGTACAGTTAATAGTTACTTTTGATTGGTATCAAATGAGTTAATTGTTTTTCCAATTGTGAGCCTTAATCAATCATCACTTAATCTAATCAAATTGCCATTGATTAATTTCTCAATCTGAAATGTTAGGCCAAACTTATTTTATACCAACAATTAAAAAACAAAATGAGCCAAAGTGTTTTATTTTTTGCAACAATTAACTACAATCAAGTTTGATTGATTGATCAATTGTTGATCAGATGACATGGACAATTAGAAACCTTAATTGAAAAGGTCTTAATCCTCTCAATCTGATAGCTAAATTAATCCAAAATGATTATCATATCGCTGATCATCATCATCATCATCATCATCACAGGTAAGATGATGATAATTTAGTCCTCACAATTAAATGATCAACTGATTGCATTGGATTAATTAATTATCTTCTTATTTGTAATCAGCTTTTTCCCTCTCTTTTTTTACACAATCGCCTTAATTGTTAATAATTTAAACAAAACAAATGTAATTAAAACTTATCATTGATAAGAAATCAAAATAAATGCCAATTGTAATAATAATGAAATACACCGAGCACGATACAATTAACTAATTGTTACAACAAAACGTGATCGGAAATCTTGATTAAACTTGATTTTCATGCTAAAATTGTAACTTGAACAATTAAAACAGCAACAAGATAATAACCAAATGAGTAAATTGTAATTAACATGATCTTTTCCCAATAATATTTACTAAACAATTAAATGAAATTTTACAAAAAGTGTCAATAATTAAACTTGATTGTGATGGAAAAGTATAAATAATTTAAGTGATCTAATTGTATCGTTGTCGTTAAAAGTTTACAATCTTTATGATAATAATAAGACTAATCTATTAGGATGATCAGAAAGTTTTGCACGAAAATTAAGACTAACAATCAACACGTAATTAAACTAAATCTAAAATCTTAGAAGTAATTTTCAATAAATTAAGTCTATTGATTTTAGAAAATTAAATTTTGATCTAGGTCAATCTGACAAATATGACAACATTTTTAGCTTCAGCTAAAATATTAGATGATTTCAATAATTTTAAAATTGGACATTTCAATGATTAGAAACAATTAACTAATCAGGAAATTAATTCAAAATTGATCTTTCGAAGGTGAAAATTCATGAAATGAAATTTTACCATGAATAGATGGACAATTTTATGATCTTGTGATGAATTTCCAATTTGCTAAAAAGTCTGAATTTAATTTAATGTGATTGTTCTAATCAACAATATCATTTCAATAATTTTAAAATATTGAAATCATTATTCAAAGTTGTTGAAAGCATTGACGATAAAAATAATTTAGGCCATTTTCAATTTGACCAGGAAAAATTTAAATTTTAACTAATTTAATTATTTTCTATCAGTTTGAATTAGAAAAGATTTTTGCAACAAATAGTTCGATTTAATTACAAATATAACATTGATTTTCAGAACTTTCTGATCATCTAATAAAGATCAAGTAAATTGTTACTTTTAATTAACTAACGAAATGTGTCTGTTCAATTAATCATGATGAACTTTCGTATAATCTGAACAATCAACTGCCACCACCAGTATTAGAACTTAAGTTGGTTTTCGAAGAAAAGAAAAAGGAAAAAAGAAAAATTCGAAGGTCGAAACCTTTCGAATCTGTTGATCTATTCTTAAAGTTGCTAAAAAGTTGATTCTTTTTTTTTCTTTCACCAAAGTGTTCCAACAATGTGTCATGTTCATGTTTCAATTGGAAAAGCTCATTGATAATTCAGGGAACGATTTCAGGATAGAATCAGATGATTTTCATCTCTAGCATCTGAATCGTAATTATTTTTGCTGAATCTTATCTGAATCGTGTAACCCCACGGAATCAATGATATCTTCTTGATCTGAATAAGCTTTTATTATGTATGTTTACTTGACTAGCGGTGGGTTGAAGGTTGGGGAGAGTGTATAGAGTTCACATTACTGAATTTCCACCCTCACTTTTCACCCACAGGGTGAAGATATTTATATATATATAACTATTATCTTATACTGGAAACTCTGACTATCTGATTGCAGATCTTAACATAATCAGTAAACTGTTACCTGAGGGCATTTTTTTTGCAGATAAAAACTTTTTCCTTTTCATCACAATTGAGTTAACAATGAAAGTATATCATCAATGATTAAATTGCTACCAATCGCCAATTGGTAAATTAAATTGTTCAATTTACCTTTTGATTCGTTCATCTAAAACTGTTAAATCATTAAACTGTCATTCATTTATTTACAATGATAACATGGGAACATTAATCACAGCAATTAAGTTAATTGATTGTGTCTATGAATTTTTCTCAACCCTCATTTGCTTTATTCATAATTTATTCAATACAATCGTTGGAATTGTGAATCCCAATGAATCTTACATGGGAACAATTTGTCTCATTCTGTAAATATTCATATTGATTTCCTCTTGTATTTCTGTCATCGTCATGTTGATCACCTTTTTTTCAAATTCAATTGTCCGAGAGATAAATTGAATCAATCAGTTGATTAATAGTTGATGATCAAGGTGACACCATGGTGAGAGTAAAATTGAAACAATTGTAATATAATGAAAAGTTGATGATGAAAGATTTGCAAAGAAAAGCTTTTCTCTTTGGAAGATTAAATCAATGAAATAATATAACATGAACACACATAGAGAAAAGAGAGAAGAAAAAAATTCGAGTCAACAATTTTCATGGTGAGTCCTTTTTCTTGAGCCATTTTGTTCATGGGAATCAGGATCAGCTGAAACCCATGAATGGATAGAGATCATTTATTATTTATATCACAATGTCAGGTTTTCCTTTCTCTCTCTCTTTCGCCATCAATGTTTATGGGAATTTTTTCCTTTCGCCAACACAATTTGCTCTCCTTAATATTTTCTATTCTTCTCTCTCCCTCTCTCTCTCCTTCTCTTTCTGTTTCATTTGGAAGAGAGAAAGAGAGAGAGAGAGAGAAGACGAAAAATTCGAAAATTCGAGTTTTTCTCACAAAATTTGTTCTTTTTATCTTTCGAAAAGTTCAAACTCACAAAATTGGGTTATTCAACTTTCGTCTGTTTAAATTCAATCCAGATAATTGACAGATATTGAGTTAAAATTTTCATTAATCATCAGTAAAATTTTCCACTCACCAAATAATCAAATTTGGGCAATATAATGTTAATCATAATCTAACCATCCACTTAATCCGGTTGAGAGTTAAATTGAACAGTATAATTAATCATTATCATAATTGAATATTTTTTTTGCTGAATAGTTTTGTTGATTTGAAATGAGAAGATGAAAAGAGAAGAAAAAAAAAATTCTTCTTCCTAAATTTTCAGGGCATAGGAAACACTGAACAAGAACATGAACATTTAATTGCAATTCCTGGGATTTAACTAAATCATGCTCATGATGAGTGAACAATAGTAATCAAATTGTCATGCTAATTAAGTTAAAATTAAGACCAAAACTGATCAACTCTTCCGCAACTGATGAAATCGCAATTTAATATCAATTGTCATCAGAAACCAAACTCAAACTGCAAAGAGTAAAAGTTTTTTTTCCTTTTCTGTTTCAATTGCTCAGAACGAAAGTTCTAGTTGATTCAATTCAATTCAATTTCGATTTCAATTCTTTTTTCATCATCATCATTAGCAATCTCTCTCACTCGATGATCATCTTCATCCTCATCTCCCTCTTTGTCAGTCAATAAGGTAATTTAAACAATCATCTCCTACCTGCTCACACTCCGACTTTTCCACCTCTTCCTCCACATCGAGTTGACAGAAAACTTTTTCCTCCTCAAGTTAATCTATCAAAGTGAATTTTAATTATATGCAAAAGTTGATCGAGGAGGAAGAGGATTAATTGATTAACTTGGAGTAGGTAAAATTTCAATCCTTTTGTGATAAATTTCATCAATTAAAACGACGATGATAATGATAATAAATACATCCCAATTGTATTAAGTTAATTATCATCTTCAAGTGTCTTCCTAAGTATCAATCTAACGGTTAAAACAATTAAACAGGAGAAAGAGGTAAAAGTTCAAACAATCAGAGAATTCAAAAAGTGTACAAGGTTTACTTTCTCAGAACTTTTTTGTTTTGTTTTCGAATTTGCAAAAAAAAAGTTCTAATGTTATAAATTCGCTTGGAATTCAATCCAAACCAACCACTTCATCTCGATACAAGTATATTATGGATTGGATATGTTAAGAAAAAAGGTATTACATTTAAAACATTTATGACAAGAAGAAAAAAAGAAAACTTTAAAAAGCAATTGAGTGAATCAAATCAGAATAAGAAACATTAACTTATTCAATGGTAAAAGTTTCCACCCAATGTTTACCTCTCCCACTACCACTCTCTCTCTCTCTCTCTCTCTCTCTCTCTCAGGTTCTCAGTTCTTCATCCATATCTTTAGGAACATCATGAGAATCCCTGTGATATTTGCAGAATTTCAATTGAAAGAGTTTTCAATGAATTTTTCCTTCTTTTCTCTCTCGAAAATATATCTAACCCATGGAGGAAGAAGAAGAAGAAAAAAATGTCTCAACATGTTCCTTGTTCCTTCATTCTCATTGATAAAGATTTTATCATTCCTTTTACAGGGTCATCAAAATAATCTTCTCATGTCAAATTGGTTATCTTCCACCTCTCATCCTACCCTCTTTCCACCCTTATCCCTTGTCTTCCTCATCATCATAATCATCCTTAAGTTTGCAAGATTCATTGCACTTAACCTTATTTTTGTTATTCGAAAAAAAAAATTTTCTCTCCAATATATTCATAAATCATTCCAAGTGAAATGTACTTTAAGCATTTATCTTAACATTTCATATGAATATTCAGGTAATCCCCTTGTAATATCTTCCTTTTCATCCTTGTCTTCATCCTCTTTCTTTTCTCCATTTCTTTCTCTTTCTTTTCCACTGAATCTTTTACATGGTGAATATATTAAGCTCATTATCATGTATCAAGATCTCCTTCTGAATTTGGTTAAACTGTTATACTCTGATTGTTGTAGATTTTTGTTCATTTAAACTAATTCACTATTCACTGGATTAAGTTAACTGATGATTATCCTAATTTTTTATATTTATTGTTAAAATTAATTTACCTTAATTGTTGGATATGTTTACTTGCTATTTCAAGTAGCTTATTGATGGTTAATCACAGTTACAACTTTTTCAACTGTTTATTAATTCAACTTGAATAAATTGGATCAAATCAAATTAATTTAATGAAACATTAACAATTTATAACAAGCCAATTAAACTAAATCAACCATTGTAATTGTTGATAATCATTATTATCATTTCAATTGGGAAACCTTATCATAAAACCAAGAAACGGATTACTGTTGAATTACAATTTAAATGTAATCAAATATATTAAACAAGTGAATTACAATCAAATTTGATTGTTGTCAATTTGATTTTTTCCCGTTTCCAAATAGTTAACTCAGTTAATCACTTTGAAACCTTGAAATGTGACCACCAATGAGGATTGTTAATTGTTGATACACAATTAATTGTTTATATGTTTCTTGATTTCAAGTTAACTTTTAATTGTGTAAATAGTTAACAGTTAACTACTGATTGTAATAGTTAGTTAATTTTACTTTTTTTCCCGTAAAATAATATAAACAATTTACCAAAAAAAAAAACGTAATTACATAAATAAAAGGAACCAGAGATTATGAATTAATTGCTGTAAATCTTAGTAGGATGTTTATCCAATGTTAATTATCCCCAGTCCAGATTGTATTGATT